TTAGGAGATATTACCTTTATATCATTCCAGAAAGGTTCTTTATGAAATGCCTAATCTTGCATAGTTCTAATTATATTTTGGTTAAATTTTATTTCTGTTTTGATGTTTTCCCTCTAGCCGGAGAATCTCTTCCTAGACAGCAAACATAATATCAAAATAACTGATTTCGGCCTAAGTACCCAGTTTACGTTGGGCACTCCACTGCAGGCCGTTTGTGGGACCACTGTCTACACAGCCCTGGAGATCTTGAAGAGGAAAAAGTACCACGGCCCCACCACGGATGTGTGGAGTCTAGGGGCGGTACTTTATGTATTTGTTTCCGGAACCCTGCCTTTTGATGGGGACAATCCTAAGGTACAGGAAGCAGTTGCATCCATGTAGTATACAAAACTAGAAGGAGTTTTATAAAATTATGTGGGTTTATATTTTTAATGTTCTATCAGTTTAGGGGTTTTGGTGGGTTTTCTGTTGTTTTTTAACCTAAAAGTTGACTCACTCGTTTTCTTTCCTCTCTCCCTGCCCACAGGCAGTAATAAGAAAATTAAAAGGGGGAAAATACCGCATCCCCTCGTGTGTCTCCAGAGAGTGCAAGAAATTACTGAAGGGTTTACTTGTGGTAAATCCACTTGGAAGAAGCTCTCTCCAGGTAATCACATAAGTGGAAATAAGTAACAACTTTGGAGAATTGTTAGAGTGTTTTTAGACCTTAGCTTGGTTTGTGTGGCATACTGAGTATCTGCCTGGGACATTTTAAGCAGGAGTTGAGATATTAAAAAAAAATTTAGGTTTACCTTTGACCTACAGTCAGTGAAATGTTGAAAATAAAGTTTCCTAAATATTGCGATCATCAGAATATTTTATTTTATGCTGCTAATGAACAGTTCACCTTTTTTCAGAAAATTATGCACAATAAGTGGGTAAACGTGGGACACACGGAGACACTGGCACCGTACGTCGAAAAGAAAATCGACACCCACAATGAGAAACGCATTGGTAATTACTGTGTGCCTACGTGCTTATGTGTGCCTGTGCTTGTACGAGTAACATATGTCTGTTTGGATTCATGTGTCTGCCTAAAATGTGAAAAATGTTAAGCCCAAGTTTATAATGAATCAGCTTATCTATTCTGTCATATGTAGAAACAACTTAACTAAATGTAGTTTGCTACAGTAGCACCCAGTAACTCAGAAACAAGTGCTCATTTGTGTTAGAAAATGTGTGATCTTTTAGGTCCAATAAAGAAAACTGTTTTACCCTATAACAGAATGATTTCTTATCCGAACAAAACACATAAACTGTATTTTACCTTTCTTTTTTAGAAATTCTACTGAGGATGGGCTACGAAGAACAGGACATCGAGGAGTCTCTGAAGAAACAACTACCTGATGAAATAAGTGCCACCTATAAATTATTAGAGGAAAGACCTGCTGAGGTGAGAGTGATGAGAGAGGAAGAGCTGGAATACCCTTTATGTAAACGATCAGTTTATGGAAACTAGTTTCTTAGTTTTTTTTTTTAGATATGTATAACATATTTGATATATCATTTTTAAAATTTACCTGCAAATACCAAACCTAACTCCTATGATCATTATAAGCTACTATTTGAGCTTCAGGATAATAAGTAAACGGAACATTTTAAGTTATTTGAAA